TGCAAAACAGTACAAAGTATTATCCCTTTCACCCAAATTTCTCAGTTGTTAAATGCTACTTCTCTCTTCCCATCTACATAAACTTTTTTTCTGACAGAATGCCCCCATCTTCCCTAAAAACTCTAGTGTAACTCTCCCAGAGAGTCTCTCCAATATTATGACCACACTACCCTGCCAATCAGAAAATCAGCTTTGATATAACACTACCATTAAATCCACAGACCCCATTCAGACTTTCCAGCTGTCCCAGCCACCTACCTCTCCTAACCCATCCAGGATCCTACCCAGGAATACGTGTTGTATGAGATTGTCATGCTTCATCAAAATCCTTCAGCCTAGAATAATTCCTCAACTTCTCTCTGCCCTTTATCCTTGATCATCTTGGGATACATTCATTCACTTTCTTTTTGCTAGTCTTCATATGAAATGTGGATTCCATCCTTTTATTGTTATTTCTTTAGCATGCGAAGAAATCATTCCATTGTCTCCTGGCTCCCATTGCTTCTGTTGGAAACTCAGCCATCAGCATATTGTCGCTTCTTTAAAAGTAACACACCTTTTGCTGTAGCCGGTGTGGCTTGGTTGGTTGGAGCATCATTTCATAAACCAAAAGGTTGTGGGTTCATTCCTGGTCAGAGCACATGCCTAGATTGTGGGCCCAGTACCAATCAGGTCACATATAAGATGCTACTGATCGATGTCTCTCTCTCTCACATTGGTGTTTCTCTCCTCTCTCCCCCTCACTTCCACTCTCTCTAAAATCTATAAGCATATCCTTGGATGAGTATAAAATAAATAAGTAAATAAACACGTCTTTTTAATCTGATTGATCTCAAAAATTTCTCCTTTGGATTTTCATTAGTTTTATTATAGTATGACCAAGGGAATTTTCTTTTATTTGTCTTACTTGAGCTTGTAGCATTTGTTAACCTGTGGTTCACTGTTTGTTTGTTTGTTTGTTTTTTGTTTTTTTATCAATTCTAGATATTCTCAGCCATCACCTCTTCCACTCTTGCATCTGCCACATTTTCCTCCTGCCCTCTCCCTCTCTCTCCATTCCTCAAGGAACTTCAAATACCTATGTATTAGACCTTGCTGTTGTTTCTCTTCTGTCTACTAAACTTTCCCCCCTGTATTTTCTGTCCTTTTGCCTCCCCAAGCTTCAATCTTAGTATATTTTTCTGATTAATTTTTCATTTCATGTATCCTTTTTTCCCCTGCTTTTGTAATTGCTGTTAGACACAAGCATTGAGTTAACTGTCAGTGATGACACTTTTTATTTCTATAATTTTATTTCATTCTTTTTTATTGCTTCTAAAATTCTGCATCTAGTCATTTAATTTCTGGAATCAGCTTATCCCCTTTACGGAGCTGCCTTGTTATCATTTAATCTAATAAAATTTTTTAAAAGATTATATGTATTTTCAGAGAGAGGAGAAGAGAGGGAGAAAGAGAAGAACAGAACAACCAATGTGTGGTTGCCTCTCACATGTCCCCTACTGGGGTCCTGGCCTGCAATCCAGGCATGTGCCCTGACTGGGAATCAAACCAGTGACTCTTTGATTCATAGGCCAGCACTCAATCTACTAAGCCACACCAGCCAGGGCTAATCTAATAAATTTTTAAATGAGACAAAAATCTACTTAAAATATTATAGCAAAAATTGAATCTACTTAACCCTGTTCAATTAGACACTACAACAAAGCAGGTGGTTTCCTGGAATGATAATTATAACGGCCTCATAGTAGTCAATAAGAAAAGCAGATAACTGTCTCATAAAGCTTAACAGACAATGTTCATAAATATCAGGCATGATGTTATAACTATGGTTAGAAAATGTGCATTGTGGGAACTTAAGGACTTCACCAGAAATGTCCACAGTACCCAGTTTTGTCTAAGTATTCTTCTGTACTGAGCAGCCACTTGCATAGCTTTTTTGGTACATGATCATCATTCAAACACTGGATCCTTGACAGTCCTTAGAGCTACCTGACACTCTGTCTTAACTTCTCAAGGTTACCATTAGACAACAGGTTATACAGAAGATACTCATGCCATATGGACAGTCCATCTTTGACTGTACCAAGTTCGGGTTGGCTTTAACGGAACGTTGACAGATTTGCATCAGTCAGGATGCAGCTGTGCCTAGTGTGAGTTTTATGAGTAACATGACCAGGAAGATGGATGGGGAAAATTCTCTTTCCTTGAATAATACACAGGGATCTTTATTAACTTTGCCTTTAGGGGCTGATCTATCTTTTTCCTTTGGCCTCTAACTTCAAAAACCAACAATTTACTTCATGGCCACCTATTTTTCTGGTTTTCTTTTGCTTCCTGTCCTCACCCTGTAGTCTCGAGGCTTCCTCTAAAATCTCAAGACAAGTATTGTGGTTTTAAAGTCCATGTTTGATAACTCCAAGTGTCTGGATTTCCTTTGGCTTTATTTCTACTTGTTTGTTATTATTGATGTTGGCTGTTTTATATTTCATGTCAAACATTTTGCATGAAAAAAAAGAAATTAGTTGAGACTCTGGGTGATGTTATATTCAGAGATGATGTTCTTTTATTCCCCTGTAGGCAGCAAAAGCAGAAGCAGCTCACCCTCATGTGATTAGGGGCAGGCAATCAGAGCTTTGCATCCGGGACTGTCGAGAGCTGGTCTGTTTCTTACTTACCTTCATTCCTAGGGTTCTCTCCTTCCCAACTAAAAGCCCAGGGTGCGTTCCAGTCCTCCCTCCTCCATGAGCAGCCTCATTTTTGCTCCCCAGCTTCCAGAGATGGTTCAAAGTCCTGCCCAAACCTCCTGCTTCTCAGCTAGCTTTGTAATTAGCAGATGGTCAAAGGGAAGAGCAGCACCAATTGTTGTGCTCGTCACGCTGGGCTTGCCCTCTGTCTGGGGTCTTGACCCTGCCCGTTTTTTGGATCCTTGGTATATCTCTGATGCCTTCCAATATTTTATTTAGTCTAGCTTCTTTTTATCTCTTCTCAGCCAGAGGAGTAGTTGGAACCAAACCAAACTACTCAACGAGGGAATGGGTTTTCATATTTTCCAAGTACTTTGTAAGATACGTTTCATGTCATGAATAACATAAACACTAGTGTCTTTTTTAAGAAATCATCACTGAAGGGTACGTTTTATTGATTTCAGAGAGAGAGGAAGGGAGGGAGAGAGAAACATTGATGTGAGGGAGAAGTATCTATTCGATGCCTTCTGTGGGCCCTCAACCAAGGATCAAACCTGCAACCTAGGTGTGTGCCCTGACTGAGGGCTGAACCTGCAGCCTTTTGGTGTGCAAGGATGATGCTCTAACCCGCTGAGCCACTGAGCCAGGACTGAACACTAATTTCAAAAACATTGCGGGTATCTCCGCTAACCAAAGTGTTGCAGGTTCGATTCCCAGCCAGGGTACATGCCTGGGTTGCAGGCCATAACCCCCAGCAACCACATATTGATGTTTCTCTCTCTCTCTCTATCTCCCTCCCTCCCCTCTCTAAAAAATAAATAAGTAAAATCTTTTTAAAACACTGTGGCCATCTAAAATATTAATAAAACTGAAAGTTGTCCATCCGTGCCAAGATTTCTGTACACGTTAGCTACCACGGTATTGCTGCCACGGGAGTGGACAGAATGCTCGGAGTAAATTATACCGTACCTTTGAGACTGCATCTTTGTTGCTCGTCCCAACCTTCTCCCGTGTTGCTAGGCTTTCTGCCTCATTTCTCACTAGCAAACGTCTTCAGTGTTATCATACACATCAAGTACAACCAGTCATGTTTGTGGAGTCCAGCAGCCCATCGGTGCGCTGTGTAGGCCCTGAGCCAAGGCACTGCCAGGCATCCAGCCGCCCTGGCCCACGAGGCAGGAGCCTCCTTCCAGTAACTTTTAACAAGTAAAGTGCTTCCACAAGTGTCCAAAATATCCTCCAGGACTCGGTATCACCTTTTTTTTTTTGAAACCCTGCATTAGATGTGTAATGTCTTCCCCCGCACACAGCGCCAGCCCAGGGTGCTTGTGGACCCCAGCGGTCATCTTTCAGGGCCAAAGAGTTGTAGGGGCCCGTCACACCCTGTGCTCTGTTGCCTCCCACTCCTCACAGCCCCCAGAGGCATCCTAGAACCGAGTGAAAACTAGTGAGTGCTAATATCCAGGGCAAAGGTGAAGAAGCCAACCCATGCCCTGACGCTTCTTCTTGGGCTAGGATGGGTGCCCTCCTGAGCCGGCTGGGTATCGCCATCTTCAGGAACAGTAACTGTTCGCATCATCACCTTGCAAGCTCCAGGCACTGGGGTGCTTTAATTCTGTTATCACCATGGTCTCAAAGTACAGAGGAATTATTATTCCCAGTTCAGAGATGAGGAAACTGGGACGGGACTCAGACATTTGCGTGACTGCCCAAGATTTTAAGAGTATTCAGCCCTTCCGTGATTCTCTTGCATTCTTACTGCTCCACTTCAGGCTGCCAGGCCTGTTAAAATCTGGTGCCCCATTTAGGGGGGGCAAAGGGACAACCTGGTGGGAAAGGCTTGAGGAAAAGGAAAACTGGGTCTAAGAGGTGCCTATTACCGAACTACCTAAGCTCCACTCGGTCTCCGTTTCCGCTGCTCTGGTCCTTGTCCTCGGAGCCCACCTCCACAAGCCATAAATGCAGCGGCTGTGCTTTCCTGTCCCTGATCCTGGTAGCCCTCATTTCCAGGTATCCTGAGCCCCCTTGTCCCCTCTCTCCTCAGTGCATTCCCGGTGGCCCAGTTTCCAAAGCCCCGGTGCACCCTTCATCCTGCAGCCCCTACGGCCACGGGTCCGGCAAAACCCTCCAGCCCCAACCCAGCCGCAGCACCCACACTCCCCTGGGCGCCGGGTTTGGGCGGCGCAGACCCCCACCGCAAAGGTGGCTTCTTGGGTGTCTCCACTTGCTGCACTGGCGCGCTCTGAGCCAATCAGAGCAGGTGCCTCTGTTCCCTTGGCAACGCAGTTTGCAAACGCTAACCCGGATAGCCGAGCAATGTGCTGCAACAAAGCAGGTGAGGACGGTTGAGGTCAAGGGTAGAAAGCAGGAGGAAGACTGGGGAGGCAGGGAAATCGAGGTGCAGGAAATGCAGCAGTCTTTTTCCCTGCGTGGAGTTTGGTCTGGTTCTGTTGAGAGCTCCGGCAGGGCAGGCCGTGTCCTCTGCTCCGCCTGCCCACCCCGCCCCCACAGCTGTCGCCGGCATCCAGGGGCCTTCCCTCACGTGGAGTGTCTCCTCTTTCTTGACCTCCAGAAGCGCTGGTTAACTACTCCTTTGGGACACGTCAACAGAGGAAGCTCTTTCCTCACGCTTATCCCCCCAACTTTTTGGGGAACAAGTTTCTCCCTCTTAGGGGAGCACCCCACAGAGGGCCTGGATGTTACACTACAGAAAACGTGAGTATTCACCTTCCCTTAGGTGGGTCTCCGTTCCCCCAGGTATTTAAAGATAGCCAGGTTTCCTGGAAGAAAAAGTACAGAACTTGGAATCTTTCGGGTCCCAACATGAGAAAGTGCCCTTGTTCTCTGCAACCAGCTATCAGGGTCAATGTTAAAAATTAAAGAATCATCATTGCCCCCTTCCAACTGCCACCAAACTCGAGCCTTTGTTTCATAGAGTTACAGAGAGAGTCCCCACTCCATTCCCACCTCCAGAGGGTTGCGAACCAATGACAGTTAGCTGCCCCCCAACGCCCCCACCCACCCCCATTCATCCAAACATGGACTGTGGATGTGCTGGTAGGTGAGCTTATGAAATAATATGACCAGACACACTTGCATCAGAGCATATCGGGCTCTGTGCCTCAGAGCACTGGACTCACTGGCGGGCATAGAAATGTCACTCACTCTCCGTATCCAGCACATTCCTTTGCAAAGCCACCTGTTACTCATGTAATTGTTCAAATGGTCTCCTTGACTCAGGGCAGTCAAGACAGAGCAACTTTTGCAGAGAAGACTCAGATAAGAACATTCTAGGTGCACTCTGTTTTGATGACCATAATGTTCTCTGTGTTTTTCTTTCTTTCTTTCTTTTTTAAATATATTCTACCCGAAGAGGTATGACTGGGTATACAACCTCTCTAAGATCCCGACCAGCAGAAAAGGATATTCTTTGGGAGCCAGAACAGCCGCGAGGTTTAAGCCGATCAACAAGGTTAGAAATGACTGCACGTGCTTAAGTTTTCCTGTGATCTGTGGTGTTGCGTGTATTTGCATCGGGGAGCACAGGGCGGTGAGTGGGAGGGTACCTACACAGTATGTTCTGAAATTCAAGAGAAAAAAAAGACATTTAGGCAAAAGCTATTAAGACTTTCTGAAAAGCCTGGGCGTTAGCCTTGCCAATGCATGTGCGAGTGTCCGAGGAGAGTGGGGAACAATTCCCCGAAGAAGTGGCTCCAAGTCAGAGCTTCAGTGCCGACCGAGACACCTGATGGTCAAACACTGGAAGCTTTGTTTATATGCATCGGATTATCTTGCCAGTTAAAAAAAACAAATTCCAGCTTTTCTACCCTTTTGTGTGATTGGATTTCAAGTCCAAAATTCCTCGGTATAGCATCCTAATCTCTAGGACATTTTCCTGACAGTGAAGCTCAAAGAGAAGAATACTGACTCTAAAAAAAAAAAACAAAAAACCTCTGCGTGAGATGGTGGGGGTGGTAGCTGCAAAAAGTTCCTTCGGCTCTCTGCGCAGCCTAGGCTGACTTCTACGGCTCACGCACGGTGTGCCTTCATGCAGCTGAGCCACCCCTGTCTTGCTTCTTGCTTTTCTATCTATCACAGGCCTCCTTCTGTAGCTGGAGGTGGTTAAACCATAGCTGACACATGAACAGGAGGAGGGTGCTTCTGGTTTTTTTGTACTTAGAAGGCTTTCTGTGTACACCTGCGTACCACCCGCTAATATATCGATCTTTTCTTGGTAACAGGACGTGACGCCTCACCCAGGCACGTACCAGACAGTGAGTCTTCAGGAGCGAAACATCAAACAAAATTTTGCTCCATTTAATGTCATGTTGCCTCGATTTGGGACATATTCGAGGGACAAGTATCATCCTGGGTACGTGTCATCTCTTCTGGGGCACTTCAACGAAGAGCAGTAGGGAAGAAAGGACAGAGAAGGGGTCACCCCCAAACCATGCCAGCTAAATAGCCGCTTATCTTTAAGACTCAACCTCTTGCCTGGCAGATCTCTGGCATCAGGAAGTACAAACTCATTTAATCAGTATGAATGATTGTGGCAGGCATTTCTGTAGGTTCCAGAGATTTTGCATTAAACCCATGACACAAGGCTCCTGATTTCCTGGAGCTTACATTCTAGAATCCAGACAGCTGAGAAACAAATAAACAAGAAAATATCAATAGTAATAGGGAGAATGGCCTTATAATACATTAGTCTGAACTGACACATCTAAAGGTCAACAGGGGCCTTATTAATAATTATACCAAGACTGTAGCCATGAGCCGGGTCCGTCACCAGCGAGCCAGGAAGAACGGTGACCGGGTGACGTGCTTTGAGGAGAATAGTACAGGATGACGATATGATACAGAGGCTACTTTATCAAGAGAGGTCTTTCCGGGGAAATGACACTTGATCTGAAATCAGAAGGAGACTGAGCCAGCCTCGGAAAACCTGGCCCCGGGGAGAGCTGTGGTGCTGACAGGGTTCGCGTGTGGTCACTAACGCCTAGACGTGATGTTACATATTTTTATTTCTAGCCCTGGCACATACAATCCAGAGATAAGGCCACCCCCCAAAGTCACCTGGCCGATGAAATTTGGATCTCCAGACTGGGCCCAGGTTCCATGCCTGCAGAAAAGAACCCTCAAAGCGGAGGTAATAGCACCGGGCTTCTGCGGAGCACTGTCTAGTTCTCACATAGGGGTTCCTAACCGGGAGTCTGTGCGTGAGCTTTAGAAAGTCTTTGTTCCCCTGAAATTATATGCACAATTTTATGTGTATATGCATATGGGGACTTGAGGGTGGGGGGAGTTGCATAGTTTTATTAGATTTTTAAAGGTATGCATGACTGCACAGAAGTTAACATTTTAAAATTCAATCCTCAAATAATCTGTGGTGGGTACGGCAGAATTATATGACAGAGGAGGGATTGAGACTCAGGTGAATCATGTGACTTGTGCAGGCTGCACAGAATGGATCCACCTCTTGCTGGATCCTAAGCCACTGCTCTTTCTGTCTTCGGGGGGCTGTGGAGCATTCTGGTAAGAGCATGGGTTCTGGGGACAGACTGCCTGGGTTCAAATCCCAGCTCTGGTACTTGCCTGCTGTGTGATCTTGGACAAGTCCCCTGGTTTTTCTAAGCCTCAGTTTTCTTACCTTTAAGATGAGTATAGTAAGAAAACCAGTCTCATAAAGATTGCAATAAGGCACAAAAGCATTTAACACAGAATCTCTAACGTAATAAATACTCAACCCATGTTAGCTATCACAATCCTAAAGCTGCCTTTTATTTCCTAGTGGAATTTCGGATTAATTTCACAAATATTTACGAAATGCCTGCTGTATTCAAGTCATTGTGCTAGGGCCTATAGGTAACATTCAAGAATTAAACATATCACCTTTGTTTTCAAGAAGTTTACCAGCTAATAACTCTTAGAGATTTACCGAATAAAAACTGATTCTTGGCATGATAGACACCAGAGGAAGACGACAAAGAGTGGGCGTACATACAAAAGTTGAGGGCATCGCTGAGGCCAGAGGGCTGCGGGGCGGGGCTTAGCCAGTCGCGCACCCCTGCAGCAGTCCCGCCTGTTTTGCACAGCCTGGTGCGGCGGGGAGAACCAGAGATCGGGGCCTCTCATCAGAAGTTGGTCCGAGACAACATTCTTTCATTGCAGCTGCCCACGGACAAGGACTTCAGAAGACATCGGAACCGCTTGGCCTACTTGCGCCTGTTTTACAATTGAGGAGCTGGGACTTCCCTCGCGAGCTGCTCCTGACCGCAGAGTCTCCTGGATGGAGGACGGGGCTGCTCCTCCGGCTCTGCGTAGCTGCGGTCGGTCCCCTCATCCGCCGCATGGGGCCCAGGAGAGGCAGGGGACTCATAACTCCACGTGAGGGCGTAAAGACCAGTTCAGAACGTTCTCTGTCCGTGTGCTGCTTTGTGGGGTGCGTAACGCACATGGGTCTGGGGAAATTTATTAGTCTGAACGGACACATCCGAGAGTCAACGGGGGCCTTACTAATAATTTTACCAAGACCATAGCCATAAGCTGGGTCCGTCACCAGCAAACCAGGAAGAGTGGTGACCGGGTGACATGCCATGAGGAAAACAAAAGAGCCAGCATGGTCAGCGGGGTGGCAAACATCTGATTACTTGCCTGTGAGTCTCTGAATTGTCAGCACCAGATCTGACTAGACGCAATCAACTCAAGTTGGATGGGAAATCCAATTACTAGCACCCCTAGGCTGGACTATTGACATCCTTCTGTCAGTGGCCCAGATGTCCTAGAACTGTGTTTGGCTTTGGGGCTGCAGGAGAGGTGGTGCCATACACTTCAGAACCCCTGGAGGAAATTCAGATTGATTTTTTTAAGTGAAAAGTGTTCCGTAGCCATCAGCCTGCCCTTCCCCAGGCTGCCGATGCCCAGCGCTGTGAGAAGCCAGGGCACGGGACCTCGAGAATACAAGAGTAGCAAGATGACTTGGAGAGTGAAAGAATTTCCCCAGGGCATCTTCAACCCCATTAGCCTCGAGGGAGTAAAAGCCCAGCAGCCAGCCTCACGCGTGGTAGGGCCAGACGACCCTGCTCCAGAGGCGGGGGCACAGCCTGAGAGGCCAGAAGGGCCGAGACAGCCGGATGGTCTTCCTGTAAAAGGGAAGCCCCGTGAGGAGCTTCTTGACAGGGACCCCCTGTCTCCCCAAAACTTCATGGCATGTCTGAAGAAAGCAACACAGACCTGATTTCTTGCCACTGTTTGTCCCATTTGATTAGCAGAGTCTCACTAATTGCTCCCCAAAGAGAAAGCCTCTTTCCCAAGAATCCAAGCTCTCCCGAATTTCCCCTCTTCTTATGATTTGAGACTATTCTTTCATACACAGTCAAAACAATGCATGTCACCTCGTCCCTTGGATTCTACGTGCAGGGGACGGTTGTGTCCCAGTCACCATGGAAGTCATGGGTCATCTGGGTGACCAGATGAAACCAAGGAACCTAAAGCAGAGATCCTGACCCATCAGGATCCTGGGGGGCATTTTCTTACAGGTCATTTAAGAGTAGGAAACAGGAGCTGTGGAGAACCTGTAATGCCAGGTCGACATCCATGTGGGCCCCACCAGCATGGCCGCGTGGGGGCCCCCAGGGAGAGGTTATGGTCTGTGACCCTCAGAGGGCTGCAGAGGAAACCTCGTTTACCTCCCCCGGGGAAAAAATGTAACAGGGCAGACCCAGAGCTGAAGGTTAGGACACGTGGGTTCCAGGAGCGCGTGTCTAAGGCCCATCTCCAGGGCCCTGGGAACCACAGGTGACCAGCTCTCCTATCGCTGTACCAATAATAGCGTCCTTAATTTTATAACTGTTTTCAAAAGAAACTAATGAGGATTGTTGTTATATGGATTTTCCATGGTCTTAAATTGTGTTCCTCTTCTCCCCAAAGCCCACCACAGTGACAGTTTAAAGAGGCCACCACCTTGCCCTGGCCAGCTGGCTCAATGGATTGGAGCATCCTCCCACTTACCAAAAGGTTGTGGGTTCGATCCCCGGTCAGGGTGCACATGGGAGGCAACCTGTCGATGTTTCTCTCTCTCCCCCTTCCTCTCTGTCCAAAATGAAGAAACACGTCCTCCTGTGAGGATTTTTTAAATAATAAAGAGGCCACCAGAGCCACTGAGTCCCCAGACCCCTTCAGCAAGCCCGTGAAGGTGTCAACTGTCCCAACATGAGGTTTATGTAACCACTTGGGATAGTCTCCCCTCGAAAGCTGAGGAGTCCCTGCTCTGGGATTTGGGGGGCCAAGGGCCCTTGTGCACTCTTCCCAGCCCCTGCCCTGTCCCGTCGAGGGTGGTGCTGCCGGCAGGCAGAGCTGCTGCGATCAGCAGTCTGGCTCATCCTGTTTCCTTCATCCTCTTCTCCAAAAGCCTCCAGCGTTTCCTGGAGAGGGAAAATGGGACGGATTTGAGCTGTCCTCATTACATACTCCCTATAGTGAGTACCTCTTGGGCTGGTGTCTAGCTCCTAGCAATTCCCTCGTGTCTGGAAAAAGCCCCTGACATAGAAGGATAGGTCCTGGTAAGGTAGAACTTGGAACAAAGCGGTACAGACACTAAGAGTCCTTGAACCCAAGTCACGTTTAGTGACAATTCTACAGGGAAAACCCGGAACTCCTGGCAGAGGGTCGAGGAGCTGTCTTCCCACGGTGACTTCGCTCTCCATTGTTAAGCTCTAGCTGCCCTTTTTCCCAAGGCCGCACCAAGCACCTTCCTGCCCCCAGGCCTTTGCTAATGCTGTTACCATTTCCTTGGAAAATGACTCTCCCGATCCTTTGTACACACGGTTTCCTCTCATTCTTTGTCACCGCTCACATGTCACTTACTCCAAAAAGACTCCCCTGACCATCCTGTTTGCCGCCATCATTGGTCCTATTGCGATTGGCGATTATCTGATGGATGTTTTCACGGTTTCTTCCCTTCCCCTTCTTTCACTCCCTCTCCTCACCTTCCCTTCCCTTCCCCTTCTTTCGCTCCCCTTCCTCTCCTTTCCCCACCTTCCCTTCCCTTCCCTTTCTTCCTTTCTTGATTTCTTCTCTGTGTCCCCCACGGGGCTTTAGGCACGGACCATGTTTGTCTCGTTTGCTGCTCTTTGCAGCATGAGGCACAGGCCTCATGTAGCTGCTCAGTAAATACTTACTGGATAAATAATGCATGACTCCACCTCCACAACTCAAGAATCTCTTCCTTGGGTTCCTTCAGGTACCTGTATCCTTCCGATAAATTATGTTTGGGCTTAAGTCAGCCAGAGAGTCTCTTTCTGTGGCTAGCAGCGCCGAACACCGTAACCAGTGTACACTCTGGGAGCTGCTATTCCCAGGAAACGCAACTCTCGTACAAAACCCACTAAGGCTCCAGCTTCTCCCCAAGAAGACGCCCAGCTAGTGCTCCGTTCCCCCCTTATTCAAGGAGGTAAATTGCTGTTTGTCCTCTGGTGGGCTTCCCTGGGCCCTTGGACATTCCGTATCCAGGCAAGGCCAGCAAATCCGTGTCGATGAAAGAAGTCAAGGACAACATGAAGAATTCGAGGTTCACGTCTGTGGAGACCACGGAGATGAGCGAGGCAGAGTTCCCGGGGACCCCTCTCCCGGGGACCCCTCTCCACGTCTCCTCCGATGGCAGTGTTCATTCTGCATGTCATAGTAACCCCTGTTGAACTTTTTCAGTTAAGACAAACTCAAAAATGTTCATGTTAGTCAATAGATAAGAGTTCTTAACTGAAACGCGTTTGCCTTCAGTAGACGCATTAAGTCGCTTTTTCTGTATGTTCATGAGATCAAAGGTCCATTGTCTTTATTAGTGGGATCTCTCAGAGCCAGTGGTCCAGATACTACCGTTTTTTGATTCTAAGATGTTCATTTCTCTACATTTACTATTTCCAGAATTAAGATGTGATCTATAGTATGTGAATACATTTAATAACAAAGTACATCTGGCACCCAGAGAATGTACTATTAAATATATTCTGAATCGATGCCCTTAAAGAAGTGTTTCTAGCAGTGTGTGAAGGTGGTAAAATTCTCCATTTATCTATATTTTCTTTAATTCCCCTTTAAGTGCACGTTGTAGTTTGCGGGTGGGAAGGCTCTGCCCGTCTCTCATTAGATGTAACTCTACTCTGTGGGATTCCAGGTTCTGCCCCAGAGTGTTTCTTGGTGTGACCCATGTCCCCACTGCCCTTTTCCCCCTGTAATTTCCACTTGTTCTTCTTTCTGCCTCAATTTTGGATAGTTTTTGTTTCCTGAGTTTTCAGTCTCTGATATAATATTAAGTCCATCTAGTCCATTTATATGTGTGTATATATTCTCATATGCCACTGTCAGCCTTTTTAATGGGTTGTGAATCTTTTCAATATCAATTGCATTGACTATGGAGTTGACTTTAGGAAATACAGACTTTTTAACAATATTCATTCTTCCAAACCAGGAACACAGGGTATCTTTCCATGTGTTTGTTCCTCGATTTCTTTCATCAGCATCTTGAAGTTTCCAGATCTTTCACTTCCTTGTTAAGTTTACTATTCAGTATTTCATTTCTGATGCTATTGTAAATGGGATTGATTTTTCATCTTTGCAACTCTTTGCTTGGCTTGATTCAAGTAAATATTTGCATGATTTCATTGTTCTCTCTGTACTCCTGTTAGTTACAATCACACACAGATGTCCCCACAGTTGCAGAAATGATTAAGTCCTGAACCTCTCACTCAGTACTGTCTAACAGAAATAATTACCTACCCCCCTCCTTGCAGTGCCGATACCTTAGAACACTTTGCATTTTTCTCTTTTCTGCCTTTTTTAAATTATTCATGTCACACATTTTAATCTTTTTGTGACACTCTACTATTGCTTTACAGGAGTTCATTTACAATTTTCTATGTTTTAACCCCTTTCCTTTGCTCTTCATTTCTTGTTGCATTTCCATTTATCAGCGGGATAACTTTTCCCGGGTTGGGGAATTCACGATATTGTTATTTTCTAATTGAGTCTTCTAACAACTGTTTTAACTATTTTTTTCTAAAGATGTCTTTATTTCACCTTTGATTTTCGGCAACGCTGCTGTTGGTGTAGAACACTGGTTTATCGGGTACTTCTTTTGGCCCCTGAATGCATCCTCTCTTCACTGATTGCCATGTTCGCATTTCTTTATCCTCGGAGGCAGTGGCCCGCATACTGCACTCGATATTTAAGTCCCATTGGTCGATGGCAAGTACTGATGCCTTCCCATGGCTACCCCTGCGGTAAGAG